GGCATCTGAGGGTCAGAGGTCAGCAGGCCCTGGCCCACTCCTCACTCCTGATCCAGTAGAGGAAGGGGGAAAAGAAAACGGATTCTCCATTCTCTGCATCCCACGCTGTCTGTCTGTCTGTCTCCTTCTCTTCCCTCCCTTCCTCCCGCTCTCCCAGGTGGAGGTCACCATAGCCTCCTTGGACCCCTGCAGACCCAGAGAGCAGCTCAGGGGATGGGGTGCAGCTGTGACGGAGCCAAGAGTCACCCATGTCCTGCCTGCAGAACCAGCAGCGGATGGGCTTGTGTCCCTTCTTCATCAAAGCAGCTACCTTCGCGTCTGTCCCCTGACACACCCAGGAATGCAGTGTGTGGCACCTCGGGGCCCTGTTGGCCTCAGTCCCGCACCCACGGGCCCTGGGTGTTGTGTAGGCAGTGGAAGGGCTTTGTGCTAGGCCTGACGACTGCACCCTGTGTTAGTCCACTTTGCAGTGCTGTGAGGACATGGCCAAGGCCGGGGCGCTGCGTGAGAGGAGGTTTGCTTTGACTTCTCATTGTGGGCCCGGGTGAGGGACTACGCCCATGTGTCCTTGGTGCTGGCTGAATCCCAAGGCGGAGCGCAAGGGAGTGCCTGGCCAGAGACCACACACCCGAGTGCCCTCTCTGGTCTCTTCTGTAAAGCAAGCATTGGTCAAGTGTGGGGGCTCCCCTGCTGGCCTTCACCAGTCTCAGGCACTGTCCCCTCCAAAAGGTCCCGTGTCTGAATTGTCGCATTAAGCTTCTACCCTTCTGGCATCTCACGACCAAGAATAAATCTCAACACACAAACCCACAGAGGATGTTAACTGTAGCCATGGCAGACTGGAGTGGGTTAGGGGGCCCTACGGCAGCCTTGCACCCTGGGTGTCTTGGCACAGCTTGGCAAAAGGTGCCTTCCTTTCCCTCCCCACTGTCCATGCTTCTGTATCCCCATCTCACTGGCAGGGCTGAAGATAGCATGTATTGAGCGCTTACCATATACCTTTCCCTGTTCAAAATGTTTGATGCAGGCTAACTGGTCTAACTCAGTCTCTGTGATTCTCTCCACCCCACTTGCACTTGAAGAAGCCAACACACAGAGGTTCAAGTAGCAGATCCCGGGGGAGGAGGGGAGTGGAGGGTTGGGGGTGCAGGCGGCCCCAGTGGAGAATTCTTGTGTTGACTGCTGCATCTGCTGCGGCTCTCTCTTCCTGCTCCGCTCTCCACCATGTGTGTTCATGGCCCACAGGCTCCTCTTCAGCCTCAACTTCCCCCAGCAAGAGTCCCAGCTGCTTGGAAGGGTGTACTGCTCGCTGGTGGGGGAGGGAAGCAGTTATCCCAGCTTCCAGCGAGTGACAGACACAGGACCTGGCCTTGGCTCCCGTCATCCCCCTCCATCACCACCTCGGGGCTGTTCTCACAGGTGCTCACCCTTTCCCCCTGGCACAGCTGGCAGCCTCGGCCTCTCCTCGCCCTTCCTCAACCACTTCGCCACTGTGATCTCAGGCCTTGCTGTTTCCTTGATCTTCATTTCCCATCACCAAAACCCACACCCTCCTGCATCTCAACTCCTCCCCTCCCTTCACATCCAGGTGACCCATGTCGCTGCATGAGGTTGATAAAAGGTGCCTTCCTTTATTCTCACCTCCCTGCATGCTGCCTTCAGTCCTCATCTAGCTGCGGCCAACCCTGCAGTCAGAGTTGGGGAAGGCCTTGTCTTCCCGGTCGCCTTTGGCCTCCAGGCCACTGACTCGCCCTCTGCCACAGCTCCCTTCCTGCTGCCTGTCTGAGTAACCAGCATTCCATCTCCTACAAGGAGGCGTGGAGGCTTGGCTCACAGCCCAAATGAGTCCCATTTGCTGATGGAAAGCTGTTGAATCCTGGCGAGCTGAAATTCCGTATAAATAGGCACATTTACAACTTCCTGTCCATTGAGCTATCACTCATTCCGACGGAGGTAATACTAATAATGGCTTGCACGTGTAGCCATTCGGCGTGCACGGTGCTTTCGCATGCCCTTCCTTGCCCTCCCTTGCCCTGTCCATGTGCTACAAAAACAGCTTTGTGTCTGCGCAGTGTTAAATAGACATCGTTCAACTCGATTCACTCGGCCAAGGGTGTGCTAGGAATTTGCTTTGTTTTCAGGACGAGTCCTGGGCTTAGGTCTGTGGGGAGTTGGCAGCTATAATCCTTTGGACGGGGTTGACTGCCTCATGCCTTTTAGGGACCTGTGTTCCTGCTAGGGCATGAACGTAGCCAGGGGTGACTGTTCTGAGCCTGCAGCTGGAGGGAAAGGCAAGCTCATTTGGAAGTACTTGGATTTGGGTAAAATGTAATCAGACCCGAGTGGCCTTTGGACACTTAATAGGTGTCATGCTTTTTTTCTAAAGGTGACTTGGAAACTTCTCTTTTAAAATTTTTCACTTTATTTGAAGGGCAGACAGAGCTCTTATGTCTGCTCGTTCACTTCCTAGATACCCACCATAGCCAGGACTTGACCAAGCTGAAGTTTGAAAGCCCAGAACTCCATCTGGGTCTCCCATGTAGCTTGCAGGGACCCAAGTAAGTGGATAGCATCTGTGGCCTCACCAGTGGCATATCAGCAGGCAGCTGGATCAAAAGTAGAGGAGGAGCTGGGACTGGAAGTAGGCACTCTGATAGGGGATTGCAGGCGATGTAAGCCACTGCACCCAATGCCTGCACCAAGTCATTCAGTTTTGCGAGCTGTGGGGAGTGCTGTGTTGTCAAGGACTCTGAGTCCAGGCCCAGGCTACCTAGAGAAGCAGCCTGTGGCTAGGCAGCCCTGTGGGGCTACCAGTGGGAAGGGTTCAGGGGCTCTTTCCGCATCTAGGCCAAAGCCTCCTCCTTGCCTGATACAGCTAGGGCCATCTTCATTGCTTGTTAATTCAGCACTGAGTTTTCCTCTCATTTTCTGAACTTCTGCATTATGGGGTGTTGTTCTATGTGAGCTCCTGGGAGGCTGCTGAAGCCTGCCCTGGACACAGGGGACCTGTGCAGCCCACTTTGCTACATTTGGGGAGATTTGATCTTATTTGAAAGGCAGAGTTTCACAGAAAGAGAAGGGGATCTGAGCTCCTGCCCTGCACAGAGCTGGTACACCATGGGAAGGTTAGGAGGCTGGGCTGCCCTGCATGATCCCCGCCCCTCCCGCCCAACACACACACCCTTCCAGGCATACGCAGTGGACAAAGCCTGGGGAAGTAGGACAGGAAGAGAGTGACCGCTCAAGAGGGCCCCTGCCTACACTGTGACCTCAGGGAGGGTGCTGGAGCCGACGGCTAGGGTGACAGCCAAGGAAGTCAGATGCAGGAGACCCCTCATCCCCTCTGCCGTCTGCTTCTCCATTCTCTCCCTAAATGTGGCTGAGTGCTCCGTTAATGCAAACTCTTGGTTCTGTTATCATCAGACTTAGAAAATGACCTTAGGAAGGGAAAGCAGTACACAGTGGATTTTGGTTTTAGATTGTTATATGTCACCAGTACTCCTGTTGGTGGCGTAAAGAATGGAGAGACCACTGCTGGACTCTGATCTGTGCTTTTCGCCCTCTCCCACCCAGGCACTGTTCACACACACACACACACACACCATACTTGCACACTCAGAGCCCTTCTCAGCCAATGGGCCTCCTGCCTTTGACACCTGCAGAAGCTTGAGGCAGTAGCCAGCCTTTCCTCTTGTAGGCAGAGAGAGTCAGGGCGTCCCTCTGCAAGTCCTCATCTTGGCCAGGCTGTGGTCATGAGAGGTAGTGAAGGCTGGAGTTCAGACTATGGGCTCTGGAAGCAGGCTCCCTGGGTTCGAGTCCTGACTCTGCAGCTATCAGCTGGGCAGCCCTCTTAGGGCTACTGCCCCCATCTGTGGCTCAGCTCTATCACTCCTAGCCTGAGGGCAGGGCTGGCATTGCCTCCCCACAGTGTGAGGGCTCACGATTGCGACTGAAGCTCTACAATAGTACACACACACATGCATACACACACTCCAGCTGTTGGCTGGCTGATGCTCCGACGTCCACTCCATTCCAGGCTGTGACACACCAGTGCACATGGTGTGACCTAAAAGTATCACAGGTGGAGTCTGCCAGTCATGGAGGTCAGGGGTCAGAGCAGAGGCTGGCACTGCAGCATACAGGTTAAACCACTACCCAGGTTTCCAATATGGGTGTTCATTCAAGTCCCAGCTGCTCCACTTCCCATCTAGTTCCTTGCTAACACACCTGGGAAAACATCAGACAATGGCCCATGTCTTTGGGCCACTATCCATGTGGGAGACCTGAATAAAGCTGCTGGCTCCTAGCTGCTGCCTGGCCCAGCCCCGGCCCTTGTAGCCACATGAGGAATGATGCAGCAAGTGGAAAAAAACTGTTTCTCATTTTCTTTCTGTAACTTTGCCTTTAGAATAAATAAACATTAGAAAAAAAAAAGCAGGCATATCATTTCCACTGGGCTGCCTGACCCCTGGGGTCTCTGGACACTGCCCAGTGTCTGTCTTGCTGAGCTGCATTCCTCACATGCCTTGGCCCTAGCTGGGTACCTGGCTTCTGCTGTCCCCATGCTGTCCTCGTTGCCTGCTTCTGTAGTCAGAGCTCCCTCTTGTCTGGCCCCTTGTGACAGCACAGCAACCCAGAAGCATCCTGATTTCAGAATCCCAAGTTCATTGATCATCATTCAGAGCCGCAGTCAGTGAGCTCTGGGAGTCAGGAGGGGACCATCCTTGAGCCATGGTCCAGACAGCTGAGGCAGGAAGAAACTGTTCTCGGTCCTTGTCCCATGATGTGCCTGGGGCCCAAGTTCTGGACCACCTGGGACACGTAGCTCAGATCCCACCCCTGCCAGAGGTCCCCACGAACTCTCCAGCCAGGCTCTGAAGGCAGTCAGCGATGTGTTCCCTCTGTGGTCCCCAGTACCTGGCCCACAGCAGGCATCAGGTGGCTTCATGTTCCTGTGTGGAGGTAGACAGGCCCTGACACTCCACCTATGCCCTTGGCAGGCCATGGCGAATGTCACTGCGGAGAGTGCAAATGCCACGCGGGATATATCGGCGACAACTGCAACTGCTCCACAGACATCAGCACATGCCGGGCCAAAGATGGGCAGATCTGCAGCGATCGCGGGCACTGCATCTGCGGGCAGTGCCAGTGCACGGAGCCGGGAGCCTTTGGAGAAATGTGTGAGAAGTGCCCTACCTGCCCAGATGCTTGCAGCACCAAGAGGTAACGGCCCCAGGGCAGCCTGCGTGTCCCAGCCAGAGTCAAATAGTAGCCTTCAAACAGAAACACTGCTTTCTTTTGCCAGAATAGACATGCTAACTGCCGACCTGTGCTTAGGCAAGTTTGGAAATTAGGGGATCACAGATGTCCATTACACTGGCGTTGGTGCCCAGCCTGGTCACGTGTTGCTGTGCGGCTTCCAGAGGGAGTACTGTTCGCACCATTGTTGTCAAATGGATTTAACTCTCCCCCTCCACTTGGACATCTTCGAGCGCCCATGTGGGAATGGCCACCACAAACAAAACCTGGTCAGAAATTAGATAGAAAGGCACCTGACCTAGATTGGATGGGCCAGGAGCCAAGTGCAATGGCTCAGAATGTTCTGCTCCATTTATCCTGAAACTGTCGCCCCCCGGCTTGGCTTGGCTCAGCTCGGCTGCTGCTGCACAGTGTAGCATCTCCGCCCATCCAGCAGCTCTGCTGACTCCCCCCAGCTCTGCCCTTCACACTCCAACAGCGCATGGGGAAGAGAGAACCACAGGGCAGGCGAAGCGAGAGTGGTGTTGCTGCATGCTGAGAGTGCACGCGCGGAGGAGCAGCCCAGGGAGGCGACAGTCCAACAAGCATCCCTCCTGGACCGGGAGGCGACTGCACCGCTGTCTTTTGGCAGCTTTCCCTTGGAGTGTCTGGCTCAGGCTGATAGTGCAATGAGTTCATGCTCCCTGGGTCTGCTGCCACTGCTGGTCTGTCTGTGCTGAGGGAGGTTCTGGGAGGCGCAACCCTGAACTTGGTGTTTGGCCATAGAGCACGCAGGTGTGGGTCCCGGCCAGCTGGCTGCAGGTGCAGAGGGGAGATGGATGGGGCTGGGCTTCATTGAATTGGCAGAGATGAGGAAGTAATGAAGACAGACAGTGATGGTAACAAGACACGCGAGTACAGACGGCACGGGGGTGGTGGGGAGGTGAGCGCCCACGGGGCTGGAGCCCACACCGCTCACCGCTTTGTTGAGAGCCACCAGGTGTGGCATGTCTCTGTCCTGACGTTGCAGGGCAGCTGGTCCTCACTTAGTAGAGCTAAGGAACACACCCTGAACCCCGGGGGCAGGGCAGGCACAGAACAGCCAATCGCAATTAGTAAGGCACCCCTTGCAAAACCTCTCAACAACTTGGTGTTTTTGTTTCGTTTTCCCCCAAGTCTGGACTGATGTGAACACATGAACCAACAACACATGGCGAGTTTCCCCAAGTCAGTGGGGCGTGTAGATGACATGGGGACGGCCACGTGGACCCTCCCCTTTTTTCCGCAGGAAGTGGTGGGGAGCCACTGCTGTCTGCCTGCTTGCCCTGTACTGACCTTGTCGGCAGGAATGACCACAGCTGGATAGCCGCCCTGGCCTGGCCGCCAGCCAAGTCCCTGGGGTCTGTCCCTGGGGCTCCACTGGCCCCTGTGTTTCTATCTCAGGCCTCTGCCAGGAAGGCTATGCCTAGGATGCAGTGGCCATCTGGGAAGGCTGAATTCCAAAGTGCGTCAGATCCTTCTTAGGAAAGCCATGTCCATGTTCTGTCTGACATCCCTACCCCGCCCCTAGACTGCTGTCGCTTGCCGTGCTAAAGGCAGGGAAGGGTTAGGGCACCCGGTGCAGGATCCCTGCTTTGCCAGGGAGCTCACTTAGGCCCGGCTTTTCTCCTCTGCAGAGTCAGGGTTCTTGCTGCACAATTCCTGAGTGGCTGTCCACTTTCAATCATCTGTCTACATTATAGCTTCCACTCTGCTCACAGGCCGCTCAGGGACCCCCGGGGTTAAGCAGAGGGTAAGAGAGGTGACACCTGGTGGTTGTGCAGCCCCCTGTAGTTCTGCAGAGAGCCCTGTGGTCCCTGCCAGCCTGGGCCATGAGCAGGGCAGTTGGCCCCCCCATAGCTGAGGTTCTATGAGGTTGTAGCAGTGGAGTTGAGCAGCCGCCCCCACCCCCTGGCACACCTGGCCCTGAGTCCTAACCCTGTTTCCTGGTGGGAGTGCTTGTCACTCGTTCCCTCTCTCGGGCCTGTTGGCCGCTTGCAGATCGCGGTTTGGCCAGTGGGGGACGACTGACTCCTCCCTGGAGCTCAGCTATCCCTGGTCTGGTGCATGTCCAACTCCTCCCCTGCTCCAGCAGCCCAGCCAAGGAACGCCTCTCCGCACCCCTGCACTGCCCCCTCCACTGCACACTTCCCAGTCTCTGGAAGCTGAGATTCCAGGCCTTGTGTCCTTAGGAGTCGTGAACTCCTGGAGGTGCCACCCCCAATGCAGGTGAACATCTGGGACAGTGCTCGAGCTGCAAACAACCGCGTGGCCAAGCGCCGTGGTGAAGCGATTGAACTGTCAGCCTGTGGTGGGAGGAGGACCCAGCGTTGCACAAGGCCCCTGTCCTCAAACCCAAGAGGGAAGGGTCAGCAGTGTGTGGGCATGAGCATCCAAGGCCGCAGGGATTGTGTGGTGGGAGCCCTGGTACAGATGCCACACAGTCCCTGACACCCACCCACGCGTGTCCTCTCTCCACAGAGATTGTGTCGAGTGCCTGCTGCTTCACACGGGGAAGGCAGACAACCAGAGCTGCCTCCACCTGTGCAGGGACGAGGTCATCACCTGGGTGGACAGCATCGGTGAGTGTGCCCTCTGCTGCCCGGAGCAAGCACCTGCAGGTTGCAGCCTCAGGTCAGGAGGCCAAGCAGGTCTGTTACTGGGGCTTGTGCCCAAGGGGACTGGATCTGGCTGTCCACGTGAAAACATTCACAGTAGTGACCACGGGGGCGGGGGGTGGAAGAGGGAGAAGGGTACTGGGGTTAACTGCTTACAGGTGTGTGTTTGTTAGGGATGGTGGAATGTACGGGAATCCGTGTGAGTGGTCACATGGCATTGTGCTGTTACTGAAATCGCTGATGGGAATGATGATGAAAAGAAAAAGAAGAAAGGCCATGTTCCTGGGAGAAGACCCTGTATTGAGGCTGCCCCTGGGCGGGTTTGCCACTCTACCTGGCCCTCCAGGGTCCCCAGAGTCCTGGTCATTGCCTCCCGCTGGGCTTGGTCCAAACTCACTTAATGCCTGACATAGGCTGTCTTGTCCACCTGTCCTTTTCGAGTGACTGCTCACCTGCATCATGGCTTGAGGCCTGCTGGTCACATCTTCATCATTGTGTGTTCCCTGGGCTCCATGCTGTCCCTGGGGAAGCCATAGGCTGCCACCCCCGTGCCTGTTTCCCAATCTTGCTACCCAGGGCTTGGCTTCCGTAAGTTTTGTGTGCATACCTGGGCCAGGTACTCCCTAACTGGGCACACATGGGCAGAAAACAAAAGGATGCTCCTTGGTACAGCTGCCTCCCCAACCAGAGAAAGCTGATGTCCTACCCCGTCCTGTTCCCTTCCCCTCCTTCTGCTCGGCTACACACACACACGTTCCCTCTCTCCCCCCGCCCCTCTCATTCAACCTAGAGGTTTGGATTTGATGATGACACTCGTCTGTCTGTTCTCAGGTTAAAATTCTTTCGTAGAAAACACGAGCCGGGGCCAGCACTGTGACACAGCAAGTTAAGCTGCATCTGCAACACTGGCATCCTATAAGGGCGCCACTTTGAGTCCTGGTTGCTCTGCTTCCCATCCAGCTCCCTGCCTGTGGCCTGGGAAAGCAGTGGAGGGAGGATGGTTAAAATAGTTGGGCCCGTGTATCCATGAGGGAAATTTGGGAAGAAATCTCTGGCTCCAAGCTTCAGTTTCGGCCAACTCCAGCTAGAGTAAATATAACTGCCTTTAACAACAACAAGAAGCTGAAAAACATCTTAGGTCATAACACTGACCTTCAGTGGTCATACAGGGCCCACCTGCCGATGCTGCCTCTTTCCTTACCCTCCCTGCCAACTGTCTCTGAGGAGCAGGAAGCCTCAGAACATGGGGAATGCCTGTCCTGGGGTTTGTACACCTTCTGCTTGAGCCTGGTGCCTGAGCCTGGTGCAGTTCCCACCGACTTTGCCTCAGGGTGCAGGCACATTGTGGGGCCCAATTCCTAAGCCAGGAGTTATCAGCCTGCAGTCCCTCTGTGTTTTGCACCCCAGGAAGGGGCTGTGTCCTGTGGCCTATGCCGTCAGGTCCTAGTCCTGGGCCACAGGGCTGCCCCCCAAAAGATGGGCTCTCACTCAGGTCCCTGAGGGGGTTAGAAGGCTCCTCCTCTCCTTCTTGCCTTTCACTTCCCTGCACCAACCACTCTGATGCCCCCTGCCACCCAAGGGCTTCTGGCCTTCGTATCACCCCCAGCCAGGGACTGTGTGACCCCAGCAGGTCCTGCGTGTCCACAGAGCAAGCCCTGGGCCTGTGATGTATGTACAGGAAACCTGAGTCCATGTGTTCAGTTTTAAAACTTGATTTCTTTATTTGAAAGGCAGAGTGACAGAGATCCTCCATCTACTGGTTCACTCCCTAATTGGCCACCAGAGCCAAGGCTTGGCCTAGGCCGAAGCCTACAGCTTGAGCTGCCCCCAGGTCTCCCCTGTGGTGCAGGGACCTCGGCACTGGGCCGTCTCCTGCTGCTTTCCCGGGTGCATTAGCAGGGAGCTGGATTGGAAGCAGTGTGGACTCCACCACACTGGTGCCCCGGCCTTCTCTCTCAGACCCTCTGCCCACCCCTCTCTCCTTGTGGCTCTGGGTGGTCCCAGAAGACCCCCTCCTACCCACCCCCCAACTTGGCTCAGACATCCTGCGGTCTTTCCTTGCAGTGAAGGATGACCAGGAGGCTGTGCTCTGTTTCTACAAGACCGCCAAGGACTGCGTCATGATGTTCACCTACACAGAGCTGCCCAGCGGGAAGTCCAACCTCACCGTCCTCCGGGAGCCAGGTGGGCACAAGCAGGAGGAGACCCTCAGCTTGGGCAGGGCCAGGGGCTGACCCTCCCTTGGCTCTTGGCTGTCCATGCCGTGTGCCAGAGAGAGGGACACGGGTCCTTAGGAAGATCGGAATCCCAAGGCCATAGCCACAGCCCTGTCTGGCTTAGAAGAGGCTGGGCTGGCTGGGGACCCAAGACTCAGACAGGGCTCAGGCAAGCACAGAACACAACCCTGCCCTGCAGGACTGGTGGCAGGAAGTGCTCCCATGCTGTGCCAGCTACCCAGGGACACACACTGGCACTCACCGCCCGGATCAGAGCTGCTTTCCTCTAGTATCCACCCCAGCAGGGAGTGATGGAGGACCGGGCTCCCCCAGGCACTCAGGAGGCTGCGTCTGCCCTGCAGCGCTGCCTCATGTTTGGGGGCGCCCAGCAGCCCTTGCCTTGGGGAGCCAGTGTTTCTAATTTTGCTTGCCCCCTTTCTGTTCTCTGGAGGAGGAGGAGAGCAGAGAAAAATTTGCTCTCTGTAATTCACAGAATTGCAAACTCTGTTTGCAATTTGTCAGACCTACATAACGGGCAGGCGGAGGCAGCGGGACAACGTGGTGTACCAGCCTTTGAGAATGAGGCTTTGTTCCCAAGCGCTGTCTGTGGCTCTTTGGACATAAGCACTGTTGCTGCACACTCGGGGCTTGCGCTTCGTGCCTGGCCCTGATAGAAGCAGCAGTTCCCACTGCCTCCCACCTTCCCACTTTGGCCTGGAAGCTGAGCTGGGCTTAGCCTCACTCACCGTATGCCAGGCCAGGCCAGGTGGGCAGGCACGGCCGGCGAGGGACCTGCAGCCTATGCCAGGCCTCCTGGTTGCCCTCTGCCCTCAGCCAGCTGGACATGGGTCAGTCGCAATGTTTGGATAGCTCACTTCTGGTGCTTCTTGCCCTCCGCCTCGAGTCTCTGTCCCCCGAGCAGCACTTGGAGTGGAGGAGGAAAAGCCTTTGTCTCAGCCGTGCCTGAGGTTGAAGCTTCACTTCCTACAGAGTGTGGCACAGCCCCAAACGCCATGACCATCCTGCTGGCCGTAGTGGGCAGCATCCTCCTGGTGGGCATCGCGCTCTTGGCCATCTGGAAGCTGCTTGTCACCATCCACGACCGCAGAGAGTTTGCAAAGTTCCAGAGTGAGCGTTCCAGGGCCCGCTACGAAATGGTAAGGCGGCAGGAAGTGGGAAGCTCCAGGCCCCCAGGGGTGGTGGTCCAGTTCAAGGCCACTGACACTCCTGGCATTCCAAACAAAGAATCCACTCTCCCCCTCCCCTGCTGGAAAGATGCAACCAGGGCTAGGTTATGACAGCTGCAGGACCCCCAAGCACAGAGTGCCCAGCAGAGCCCCGCACCAGGCCCTGGCCACCCTCACAGTAGATTTTATCTTCCACAAGTTCAACCAATCCTACGATGGCACGGTGGGTTGATGCTTCCTTTCCTGACTTGGAGAGCTGTGGGAGCAGCCACTGGGCACAGCCTGAGTGGGAAGAGCTGCTAGCAGGTGCATGCTGTAGCTTGGTCTCTCTGGGGCTGTTCCAGCGTGCAGGTGGAGGACTTGTGTCTCCTGCACAGGGAAGGACACGGCTCAGGGAACACCCAAGCCTTGCCCAGGTACAAGGTGGGAGACAGAGACAAGCGCAGCCCAGCGCACTGGCTGTTGGCACCCTCCTGTGCACGCCCTGTCACTGCCTTCCTAGGCAGCTGGCTGAGGAAGGGTGTCTAGACCGGAGCCTGCTGTGTGGGTTCAGTGAACTGATCCATGCCCTCTTCCCGCACTGCAGGCTTCCAACCCTCTGTACAGAAAGCCCATCTCCACCCACACTGTAGATTTCACCTTCAACAAGTTCAACAAATCCTACAACGGCACGGTGGATTGATGCTTCCTTCCCCGGAGGACCGAGGGGACTTGTGACAAAGACTGAAGCGCCTTGTCAGCTGTGCCCCTTCGTGGTAGCTCTCCTGACAGGCCAGCATGGAGACACCTTTCTGGGGAGCCCGGGTGTGCACAGGACAGACACTGCATGCGCAGGAGAGACTCACCATGTGCATAGGACATCCACTGTGTGCACAGAAAAGCACCCACTGTGTGCACAGAGGAGCACTTTCTACATGCACAGGACACCCACTGTGTGCACATAACAGCACCTACTGTGTGCAGGGGAGGACGGACATTCACTGTGTATGCAGGAGGACACCTGGCTGCTGGGCCAGCCCCTCAGCAGGCTACACCTTCCTCTTCCCAGCAAGGGAACGAAAGGGGGCTTGGAGCCTGTCTGGGTCCCCAGCCACGTGTGCACCTGAGTGCGGCTGCCTCCCCCTGCCGGAGGGGCTCAGCTGCCCACCTGGCAGGCTGATACGCCGTTGGCAAGGGCAGGAGCCAACGTACGGTCTGACTTGCTCTATGTTGACCATTTTTATATGAAATAAAAAGATGGTGCATCCACAGCGTGGCTCTGGTCACTGGGACTTGCTGGCCTGACGCCTGCGCTGTCATCCATTGGGCTGCTGGAGGCCACACGGGCTTTGCCAGTGTGGGTTATTTTATCATGGCCAGATGTTTGCTCTGTCGAGAGCAGGACAGGTGGTTTGGGACTAAAACCTATAGGGTTTGTGCTTGCCTGGTGCTGTCTGCAGGGAGTGAAGTCCTGGGTGTTGCTCAGGGTGGCTAGGAATGTCTGGGTGTGTCCCAGGCACTGCCCAGGTGGCCAGGCCAGTCCTGAGAGTGGGCTCTCATCAAACAGGGCTCTCTGCCCAGCTGGGGCGGTGGCGTCACGGGGAGTTCTGAGCAGGGCTGCTGGTCCCTCCCTCTTTCTCCATAGGCGTTCCAGGCCAGGCACCCTGAAGACTACCCTGTAACTGGAAATGGATCGTGCTAAGGCACCAGGGTTGGTCTGCAGCTTGCTTGCTTTTTCTGTGTGTTCCATGCAGGCACTAAGCCCCAAACCCAGCCCAGCTTTTAATCCTGCAAGACTGCAACATCTCCTTTCATGTCTGAGCTGGGAGGTTCCCAGAGGTTGTCTGACCCCCATCCCTTTAATTGTAGAAGTTGTTGATTTCCACACAGGTTGGGCAAAATCATGGCACAAGTGGTACGAAGCCCCTGCCGCCTTCCACCCCAGCCCGGGTATTGACGCTGGCCTTTGGGCGCCAGCCTGCTCCCCAGAGACTTTAGTGGCCTCAACGTTGTGGCCACGTGACCTCTCCCAGCCTGGAGAAAGTTTATCCTCCTCCTTCATCCTGGCAAACACCAAGACGGATGGCTGCGTGTGGATCGGGGCCTGTTCAGAGGCAAGAGCCAACAGGTGCTGCTGGAACAGCCCTGCCTGGTGCAGGTGTTTAAGGCCTGACGGTACTAAGAAGGTGGGAGTGCTCCAGGGTGGGCATGTGGGAGGGTCCCAAGGTCATGCCCTTGGCCGGCAGTTGGCCGCCCAGCCCCTCCCCTGCCTCCTGGCTCACCTGTGACCTGCCCTGTCTGAGCTCTCTGCTTTGGACATCTGCCACCCTCATCAGTAGACCACACCTAGGGAGCCGCCTGACCCGGGATTTGAACCTTCCAGACTGGCCTCTTCCATCCCCCATCTTGGATATTTCACTGTAGGACTGCAAGCTGGCTGGCTTTTAGGTAAGTGACCTTGACATTTTTTGGGGGAAGATGAGGTTGGGGTGGGAGGGGATATGGTGAAATGTAAATAAAAATATCAAACAGTGGGTTGAAGATTTCTGGATAGAAAAATTTATTTGGGAAGAAGTTTCAGGCTTCTCTTCGTTTAATTTGGGGTTCCTGGAGGCAAATCGTTCAGGTGCGCACTGTCTCCTTTCCCATGGTCAGCGCTGAAGGGGCCCATTCTTGAACCCCCAACACGCAGAGGTTTGAGGGGCCCCTGGTTCCACCCAATGCAACTAAGGTAGTCCTTTTGCAGTGCCCTTGCGCCACCTGCTGGAAGGATTTGGCACAAGCTTTCTGAAAACAGCAGAGATTCTGTCCCCACATCTAATGAATTCTCCCTTAGGTTTTGTTTGTTTGCAACTGTTATTTTGAAAGAGTTAGGAGGAGAGACAGAGAGTGCTTCAACTTGCTGGCTCACCTGCACCCCAGATGGCCACACAGTCACTGCTGGTGCAGGCCAAAGCCAGAGGCTTCCCCTGGGTCTCCCATGTGGAGGTATTTGGCCATCTGTTTCCCAGGGACATTAGCAGGGAGCTGGATGGGAAGCAGAATAGCCAGGGTCAAACCATCATCCATTTGGGATGCTGGTATCGCCTGAGGCCATGCTACATGCGACGCCACAACACCAGCTCTGGATCCCTTGCTTCTTGAGGACTTCCAGTGAGCTGAAATGAGTCCCAAACACAGCACACTAAGCAAGATGAAAAAGTTTACAGTGCTGGCTCAAGTCCAGCTGCTTTGCTTCCAACCCAGCTTCCTCCTGCTGCACCTGTTAAGGCAGCAGGCAGTGGCCCATGTTGGCCTCTGTTACCCATGTGGGAGACTGGCTCCTGGCTTCAGTCAAGGTTATTATAGCCATTTGAGGAGTAGATGGAAGACTTTTTTTTCTCTCCAGCTCTCTGCCACTCTGCCTTTCAAATAAATTTATTTTTCAAAGCCAAAAATAAAAATCTAACCACAAAGACCAGTTATTCCAAATGTCTCACTTTAATACCAGCCCCAGCTCTGTTGTTTTATATTTTACGGTATTTTGAGCAAAGGGAACCTTTGGCATTTTCCTTTATTTAATTTTTTTTTCCATTTTCTTAAGATTTATTTTTATTTGAAAGGCAGATTTTTATAGAAAGAGAGAGGTGTTCCATTTGCTGGTTAACTCCCCAAATGTGACAGCCAAAGCTGAGCTGATCCAAAGCCAGGAGCCAGGAGCTGCTTTTTCCCGGCCTCGCGCGTGGGGCACAGGCCCAGGGACTTGGGCCATCCTCCTCTGCTGCACTCTGGTCATAAGCATGAAGCTGGATCAGAAGTGGAGCAGCTGGGACACGAACCAAGCCCACCTGGAATGCCGTCATTGAAGGTGGAAGATTAGCTTGCTGTGCTACTGCCCTTCCCATCCTTCCCTGGGCTGTGAGGAGCCTTGGACCTACTGCAAAGGGATCTGTCCCTGAGCCTTGCCATCTGCCGAGAAGCCCTGGCAGCCTGGGTGACACTGTCCCTGCAGGTGTCATGCAAGTGGCTGCACTGGTGTGCAGACACTTAACAGTGCTGTTTGCCTTGGTGCCGAGCGACCTCAGTGGCAGGGTCCACGGGGTTCATTTTTATTGGTTGATTTGAACATTTTTCCATGTGCAAAATTTTAAGTGCAGAAGATGAAACATGTCAAGTTGAAAGTAAAAAGAACCGCACCACTCACAGTGGCGACTTTTTGGTGTAAGACTCTCCAGTCCTTGTTTTATTGATTTGAAAGGTAGAGCAACAGGGTGGGTGGGAGGCAGTGAGAGAAGGCTTTCCCCCCGGTTTATTTCCCAAATGGCCACAGCAGCCAGGGCTGGGCCAGTCCCGAGCCAGGAGCCCACTTGGGGTTCCTAGCTCCCAGCTGACCTGGCCCAGCCCGGGCTGTATTACTGCCATCTGAGGAAGGCACCAGTGCATGGACGATACTGCTCTCTCCCTGCCCCACACGTTTCAAATAAATGAAAGGTTCCAGACTCATGGGTTTTCCTTTTTTTTTTTTGAAAGTAACAGCTTCCATCTGCTAGTTTATTCCCTCTATGGCTGTAACAGGCAGAGCTGTCCCAGGCTGAGACCATCCACAAGGAACTCGGTACAGGGACACAACCTGCTTGAGCTCTCTCTGAGCCTCCCAGTGCACATTCGCAGGATGTTGGAATTGGAAGTGGAGTTGGGACTCTATTATGGGCTGTGGGGGTCCTAAGCAGCATCTTAATAGCTGTGTCCAATACCCACCGGAGTACATTTTATTGTTTTCTTAAATATCACGTTTCTTCAAAAATGAATTCTCTCCTATGCTGGAGAACATGATGTCATACCTACCTGCTAGGAGCAAAGGCGCCAACTCTACAGAGCCTGAGGCCTCACCTCTGACTGTCTCCAGGGACTGGCACTGGGTCCCCCGGGTCGAAGCACAGCAGGCACCCAAGGTCAAGCAGCTCTCCCTGGTGATCGGCTCGCATCTGGGAAGCTGGGACACAAACCACAGCCCAGATGGAATGCTGGGCTTATCCAGGTCATCACTGCCATGCAACAGGAAGGTAACAGGTGCATATGGTGAGGCTCACCAGCCAGCCAGCTGCCAGCGCATGAGGCTGTGGGCAGCAGGAACCCATCCTGCTGCTGCTCCTCCTACTCTTTAAAAAATATTTATTTACTCTTATTGGGAAGACATATTAACAGAGAGAAGAGACCAAGAGAAAGATCTTTATCTGCTGATTCACTCCACAAATGTCAGCAATGACTGCAGCTGAGCTGATCCAAAGCCAGGAGCCGGGAGTGTGTTCCAGGTCTGCCATGCAGGTGCAGGGTCCCAAGGCTTTGGGTCGTCCTCGACCGCTTTCCCAGGCCACAAGCAGGGAGCTGGATGGGAAAAGGAGCAGCTGGCACTGGAGGTGGAGGTAACCAGTTGAGCCATCGTGCTGACCCCCCACCCTGCTCTTGTCTCCTGGAACCAGCGTGCTGGCATGGTCGTCTTGGGTGGGAGCAGAAGGCAAAGAGGGGAAACACGGCAGTTGGGCTCAAAATGGGCTCCCTGCAGCATGCCAGCAGCCAAGCCAAGTCCCATGGCCACGGCCAAATTAAGGGGATGGAATGACACTGTCGCCCACATTTGTGCATTGCGGGGGGGTGTGGGTGATACCATCTGCCAGTTCTTGTGCCACCTACTGAGGCTCTTGATCTGGGAAGGGGACGGGGCTTCTCGCCATAGCAGCAAATGCTCCAGAAAATGTGATCCCAGAGCTGACTCCCATGTGGCTGGCCAGGGTGTGTCTCGGTCACTTCCTGTGTTTCACAAATACTTCTTGCCTGAATGGTTTAAAAATATGATACATGTAGCTGTGTATCTACACGGGGCCATATAGAGATGTTTTACACAATGGAAATGACCTTACAGAAAGAGGGAAAA